CCCCAAAACCCCAAAACCCCAAAACCCCAAAACCCCAAAACCCCGTGACAAGTTAAATAATTGGGTTTAATTTTAAAAGACAAGCTTTTTGAGTACAACATCATCACGGGTTTCAATATTTTCCTCATAATCAGTTGCCTTGATTGTCATACTGTCAAAAGTAGACAAGCTTGCAATCATTGACCCTCCGACCCATGCAGAGTGTCTCCTTGGCAAGTCAATGTCAATCTTTATATCAGTTCTAGCAGTGTCAACTGCAAGTTCGTACAGATCTTGCTCGAATCTGTCTTTGAACCCTGGAAGCAAGGAAGTTCCCCCAGTAAGTATGATATTATTGTAGAGTGTAATTTGCAAATCTTGATCTCATTTATAAATTGAGTCAAAAGCAATCTTTGGAATACTTGGAATGCTAGATCCAATAATCTCAGGATTAAATAAAATCTCAGTAGCATTGAAGCGAGCCTCATGATCTACTTTGATTATGCCTTTATTGTCTGGCAGTTCATAAAGCTTAGATTCCTCCTTCAAAGGATCAGGAGCTTTAATTGCTCTTTCATAATCTAGTGCAACTGAACACATTTGCTCTTTAATTTTTCTGATGTGATTGATATGACTATTGTCTACTTCGATTCCTTGGGCTACAAGACTGTCTAATAAATTATATGTTACATCTTCTCCAGCCAAATTAATTGATTTGATTGCATGAGGAAGAGCGTATCCCTCAAAGATAGGAACAGCAGTAGTGATACCTTGTCCTGATTCAACTACTATTCCACTTGTTCTCCCACTTGCAAAAAGAGATAAAACAGAGCTATCCATGATATTCAGAGACTCGATTGAAATATTATGGTCTTTCAACTTATCAAATAAATATTCAGCCATTTTTATCTTGTTTTCCTTATGGTTCAATGGAGAATCAGTGACTAACAAGCTTCATTTCTTCTGATTATGCATATTTTTATGAGACAAAAGATGATGCCAACAATACTTCATAGTTTCAAAATCTTCAATAACCCCTCTTCTAATAGGATGAGTGACATCATATTCATTCATCTTCTCCTGAGCTTTCTCCCCGAAAATTCTACTATACTTTTTGCCTCCTTGATCATTAGTCTGTGAAGCTTCAATAATAATTTCCTTAACCCCCATTGCAGTGGGGATACTAACTCTAGGAAGATCTTCTCCTGAAAACCCACACTTCAAGAAGCCTGTCCCATTATCAATAACCACAAATTCCTTCTGATCGACAAAGGTCTGCATTGAGTTGAGTTTATCTTCAATAGTCGGAGGAAGATTCTTATGTTCCTCGTCTAACTCATCTTGGTTCATTAAATTTAAATTTATTAAAGTTCCAATTTATAATTTTAATCTGGGGTTTTGGGGTTTTGGGGTTTTGGGGTTTTGGGGTTTTGGGG